GGAAGCGAACACTGCAGCAACCTCGCCGGAGGTCGTCAGCATCTCTTCCGAAACTAACGAAGGCTCTCCCTGCCCGATGGATGACATGTCAGACGCGGAGGACGAACCCGAGGCACAGGTGAATGATTGGCGCTTCTCGGAGCTGCGAACCACTGACCTTGCAGCTTTGCGAGAAGTGGATGTCTCCGCCCCTTTCCGGCTGCCAGTCATCTTTGATGCGCATTGGAAAGGGATCAGCACCACACCCACCAAGCATGGGCCCCAACGTCCCCAAAATGCGTGGTATGACGCAGCCACTGCTCATTGGGCTGCCATTAAGGGGCTCATGCGAGCCAAACATCCAACCAAGCAGCGCCTCAACAGCTTCTGGTTTAGGATGTACTGTCATGGCACCCCCAAGGACCCTGATCCTTCGGCCCTGCGTGCTGCAGTTACCTCCTTCCCCTTTCAGTATAAGGACGAAGGTGTTGTGCAGTACAGGCAAATCCAGGAAGCTGTCCGGGTGATGTGGCACGCGGCCCAAACCTCAATGACAAGATACATGCGTATCCCCATTCCGGACGGCATCCCTGAGTGGGGGGTTGATGAGCAAGAGCTGCCTCCAATGCAGGTCATGCCCAGCCGAGGGAAGCGTTCCCACACCACCTCAGCTGGCCATCGCTCCCGGCGTCCGGACTGGGATGGCTCCTGGCAATAGACAGCAAACTGTCATCTGAGGGCTCCTACTGACGCCATGCGAACGCACCATTGAGTCCTTTCATGGCATGCTGCCTAGCGTGATGTGAGCCCTCACATCTCCTCACCGATACATGCCGCAAGACTACCTCGGGATACTCTTGGTTTGGCAACCCTCTCGTGGTCTGTGCCACGGATTGGATCGTGCTTGTCTTTTGTGTGCTTACAGCTTGCAGCTGTGAACACCCTTCTGGGTCGGCCCCGCGGTGTGCCTGTGGGAACGGGGGGCCTTTCTTTCGTGGTTGCTCCACTGGCCATCTGCCACGGACTACCCTGGACCGGTCCTGCCTGGATGTTCCAGCTTTGTCATCGGTAAAACGGCCAATCTTCCTTTCCTCTGCCCCCTCTAGGTGGGGGTTGCCCGCTTCTATGTGCTACGACCGTGTGTGAACCCCTCGGACTTGAGTGTTGACCATCTCTCGTCTGGACGATGACACCCCCGTGTCGTACAACGGCGTCATGCCAATTGGGAGAGACCAGCTAGGGGATGCTGCTTCTGGGCTGTGGACACTTCTACGCGGAGATCAGGTTTCCACTTCCCTGGCAATGTGCCATCGAGCACCTGTGGACAACCTGGCCTTCACGAGAGCCATTCTCGCCTGTGCTTGGGTTGCTGCGGGGTTCCCTGCCTGCTTGGGTGTATATCTCTGCTTGCGTCAAAGCAGCCATACATGACTACCTCCCCATCGGTAGGTGGCCAAGCGTGATGTGAGCCCTCACATCTCCTCGCCGACGTCTGTCGGTTTGGGCATGGAGGGTCTGATTCTGGTTATTGAACCCTCAACCCTCACCGGCCAAGGAGATAGTTGCTTGGCCTTGAGTGCAAAGTTTCGACTGGGGGACTCTCCCGCTTCCTGCGGGGCAGGTGGGGTCCCCGCCTGCTTGGGTTTACCTGATGGCTCTGATTGGAACGAAGCAGTCAAGCCTGCTTTGGCCGTCGGACGAGACTCTTGTGAGTCAAAAGAACGTTGCGCCTTGTGCTCGGAGAGGCTCCACTGGCTGACCACCATGGAGTGCTCTGGGCTGGTCCTACCCTTTGTTCTTGCCGTTAAGTCCCCACTGGCTGACCACCATGGGGCAACTTTATACTTCGGATCAAGAAGGTTGACACCTGCAACGTCCCGTGCCAAGGCACGACTATGCCCCACCTGTGATGGCGGACTTGTGAACCTTCTCGTGAACGGCCTTGGCTGGTGCTGAATGTAGTCGCATCGGTGGCTGCATGATGGTGGTTTTGTGAATCTGGCAACGTCGCCTTTTGCGACGCACCTGCGCACTCGGTGCTACATGTGTGCTCCCGGCCTCTTCGACGATTTCGAGTACTGAGTGCACAGGGTGACCTAGCAGTTCGGCGCGCTGGCTGTGGACACTTCTACGTGGAGATTATGCACCCGCTGACTTGGCAGGGAGCCATTCCCCACTTGTAGAACAACCTGGCCCTCTTGAGACTCTAGAGGGTCACCCTCGTCTGAGCTTGGCCTGCGGCAGGGCAAGTGGGCTCCCCGCCCGCGTGGATGTTACCTGAAGGCTCTGATTGGATCAAAGTAGCAATACCATCAAGATCCTTGCACTTCGGCACCAATGTGATGTGAGCCCTCCCATCTCCTTACCGACGTACCTCGCGGGTTTGGGTTTGGAGGGACCTGATGCGTGCCGACGCGCAGGCCAGCGCCAAGGTTGCGTGGCCTTGTGTGAGATGCCTGGACTGGGAGGTTCCTCGTTGTCATTATAAACCCTGTGGCGTTGAGGGTTTGGTAACTCGCTGTGGACTCTCCCCGTGGAATCGGTAGCTGCAGCTACTCTCGCCCCCCCTCTGGCCGTGCGCGGGCACCTCTCTGGGTGGGCACTTGTACGCCAGGTTGACTGGAGAACCCTGTGCTCGGAGCTACTCCACTGGCTGACCACCATGGAGTGCCCTGGGCCGGTCCTGCTTTGATTGTTCTTGCTGTCAAGTCCCCACTGGCTGACCTCCATGGGGCATATGCCCCCTGTGCCGGGCGCGGACACCTCTCTGGGTGGGCACTTGTACGCCAAGGTGAATGGAGCACCCAGAGCTCGGAGCTACTCCACTGGCTGACCACCATGGAGTGCCCTGGGCCGGTCTTGCCTTGATTGTTCTTGCTGTTAAGTCCCCACTGGCTGACCACCATGGGGCATATGCACATCTTTCATCCCCCCTAGGGAGTCTGACTTGCAACATCCTTTCGCCATTGAGTGTCGGTTGTCTGTCCTTGACAACGAGTACGTGATCCGAACCTCTTCTGATGACCTCGGTTTGAATAACCGCTGTCGCACCAGTGGCTACATGATGGTGGTTTTGAGAATCTGGCAATGTCGCAATTTGCGATTCCCCCACAAGCTCTGTGCTTCCTTGTGAACCGGGACTTCATTGACGACTTCGAGTACTGAGTCCGTGGGGTATCTAGGAGTCCAGCGCGATTGCTCGCTTTGTTTCTTTGGTGTTTGTTTGTTTGGTGGTTGCTTGGTGTGTCTGGCGGATTGTGTGCGCTGACTTTGTTTCACCCTTTACGTCGAGCCCAACAAGACCGGCCTACTGTGCTACTGATGTAGTAAAGAGGCGTCAGTCCAAAAAAAGTCCCGGGGCCGTCAGTTCTGTCAGTTTTGTCAGGTCTGTCAAGTGGGTTGTTTTATCCTTCAATAGCATCAAGAAACAAACCCAAGGGCCCGTCTGACAACTTGACAAACCTGATAATCCCATCGTCCTGCCCCTTCCTAAAGACTCGTATTGCCGTGCCGGGGTCCGGGGATTCAGATGTCAGGTTTGCCAGGCTGCGTGTTTGACGCGTTTTTGTAGACAAAATGCACCAAAAAGACCCCGAGGAGCCGACTAACAAACCTGACAAAACTGACAAGCCATTTCCCCAAGGAAGTTGCTTGCCCCCATTCCGGGCAGGTCCTGAGGTCAACTCGACTTGCTCGGGGCCAGGCCGGGGACCGTCAGTTTTGTTAGTTTTGTCAGGTTGCAGCTGTGGCCAGTTTTGTTGTAACAAAGGCCCAAATTCCCACCAAGCCCCGTTTGACAGACCTGACAAACCCGCCAACCCCGTTGTCCTGCCCCTCCATAAAAGCTCGTATTGCCGCGCCGGGGTCCAGAAAGCAGATGTCAGGTTTGCCAGGTTGCATGTTTGTCTCGTTTTTGCAGACAAAACTGCACTAAAAAGACCCCAAGGAGCAATTCCGGGAGCCGATGCTCACTTAAATTATTAAGTAAGGGCACTCCCCAATAAGGGCCCTCACTCCCCCAAGTAACTTCCCAATAAAGGCTCTCACTCCACTCTCACTCCCCCAGTAAGGGCTTCTGGTCCTCAGCGACCCCTTACTGATTCCGGACAGGTTCTAAGGTCAACTCGACTGGCCCGGGGCCAGGCTAGGGACTGTCAGCTTTGTCAGTTTTGTCGGGTCGCAGGTGTGGCCGGTTTTGCAGTAACCAAAGCCCGAATCCCCGCCCAAGCCCCGTTTGACAGACCTGACAAACCTGATAACCCCGTCGTCCTGGCCCTCCCTAAAGACTCGTATTGCCGTGCCGGGGTCCCGGGATTCAGATGTCAAACATGTCACGGTTGTCAAGTTGCAGGTTTGGCCCGCTTTTGATGTAACATGAACCCAAATACTTGGTGTAGGCTGTTTGGTGCTGTGCTGGCACCGTGCAGACTCAGTGTCGACACCAAAATGCTAATATGATATGGCCCTGCACAAACCCAATAGCAGCTGCAAGGCTCAGCACCTTGGAGCTGCTACATGTCAATAGTTTGGTCATGACTTGACCCCAGATCCGTTCTCTGGTTTTTTCGGAAAGTTCCGACACAGGAGGGTTCCTTGGTCTTGACGGCCTTTTGCTTCGATTGCCGGGCAGCCCAGAACACGAAGCACAAGCCGAGTTGCCATCGCAATCAATCGGTGTGGACTGCAGAAACAGAACACATGCAAGCTGGTTAGTACTGCATTCTTGCCGAGTACGTTTTGCTCAAGCAACAGTGTTGGTTTCAAACGACACCATGGGGCTTCGCCTCGGGTTTCGCCGAAAGCAATTGAATCGACCGTCACGCCTTCTCAAGATTGCCTGTTTATTGCTGCTTGTGTGCATCATCAGTTGCTCGTCATCGCAAGGCTTTGCTGGAGTGCCTTCGGGGAAGCGCAAGTCTTGCGGGCACAAAGGAATTCCACGTGGTGCGTCAAAGTGGTGGACGGCGTTCAACACTTGTGACTGCTTGGCAACACGGATACAACATGCTTTTGAGACTCAAATGCAAACCGAAGATGTCCCTGTGCTGCAGTCATGGGATGCTTACGAGGCATCGCTGCCGGTGAGAGAAGGTACTTACGGAGTGAACAAGCTGTATTTGCGACCCTTCTTGTGCTGCGAGAGAGATTTGGATGTCGCAGTGAGTCGCCTGGAACAGGGCACCGAGGCTAGAGATCGTGTGGCATACCTCTCAGCCCCAAGTATGCGGGGCAAGTCCGCCGCCATCCTTCCAATGTTTTGCCGAAGTGTAGAACTGGGCGAGAACAGCGAGAACAGTTTCACCCACTATTTGTACATGCCATTTGCCAACAACGATGGGAATTGCAACTCGCCTTAAACTTAGCGCGGTCTTTGGATATTCATTTGGAAGGGCATTTCATCCTCAATTTTTGTTTCGGGGAAAATTGTTGTCGAGATGATCCTTTTTCTGGGTGCTTTGGAATAGAAAGGTCAGAGCCCTGCGCCCAACCGCCAACTGCGCGATTTGGAGACCGATGAGCTGGAGCGGGCAGGTGCTGACTTCATGCTCCACTGCCTCAGGAGTCAGATGAATGGAACATATCATGACATTGAATGGCGACCGCCCAATCCACTTCCAAGCTTGAGAATGGCTGAGGCAAAGTTCAAGGAGGAGGTCCATAAGTTTTTGCAGGAAAATCAGAGCAATCGTCTCCTCTTCCACATTGATGAGCACCGCTCGATGAGCGCATCTCCCGAGTTCAGGCGAGGAGCAATGCTGCTTGCTGGCTCAGTCCCAGCGAGATGTCGGGTGATTGCCACCTACCTTGAACCACCGGATTTGCCTGCGCAGGGCTCGTCCACAGTCTGCAGGTTTCCAATTGCCATGATGTTGGTGGACGTTGGGTCCTTGCTGACTTCCAACGCCTCAGATATTGCACCAGCCACGGCAGCAGGCTTGCCCAAAATCAGGCTTCCTGCAGGAGTTTGGAATGGCAAGGCGCGGCGTTTGCTAGCAACATTGCGGGTCAAGCTGAGCCTTTTCCTTATGTCGAGGAACATCGGTCTTGACCAACTCCACATTAAGCAGGATGATAGGAGCGAGTTGCGCAATGCCTTTGTGACAGTGCAAGAGGCGCTCGACACAGACACAGATATTGAGAGGAAGCTCATGAAAGCTATCACAAGCATCAGCTTCATTTTGCCACAAAGAAAACATGTCTCTGGAGCAGTTGACTTGCTGCTGGGCATCGAAGACTCTGAGGCAGACGACAGAAGGTATCCCGGACTGGTGTCACTGGACAACCAGAAACTCAGCCTTCCCTTTCAGATGTTGATGGTAGTTCGTGATCGTGATGTCAACGACGAGACCTTCAATCTGTTTTGCGATGGGCAGGATATTATTGTTAGCTCCATCTTGGGAAACTCTGACTGGTGCGATGGTCTGGTGATGGAGCGGGCGTATGCATGGGCTCTTGCCTGCAAAGCTGCCAAAGCAGACGGACGCTTTCACTTGAAAGACGCTGGGCATACTTTCTCTTTCCAGTGCAAAAAGCTACGCGATGGAATCAAGCAGCTCAATGGGAAGGACGCGAGAGTATTCACAAAGAAGGGAACACCCAGCGTTGACGGCATCCGCTGCATTGAGGATGGTATCATGTATCATGCACTTTCAGAAGGTGGCAAGGCTGGCACTCACAAAGGCTTCGATATTTGGTTCAAGACCAAGGCAGACGAGTTGGTCCGGGGCCCAGTTGCAAACAGAAACGGTGTGTTGCATTTCTGTCATTGAATCTATTGGTGTTAATGTGCATTCCGGCATCAGGTGCTGTTGGATGTGACCGGAGCCACAAATGCCGGAACCTGCAAAGTGAAGGCCGATCAAATTGCCCAGAACGCAGCTGCGGTGATGAACAAAGCGCAGAACGCGACAGTGCCTGTGAAATCAGTCATTGGTGTTCTCTTAGGTCCAAATTGCTACATCGCCATCGAAGAGCCACCGTCAGCTCAAGTGGTGCAAGGAGATGCAGCAAGAGACCTACTGGGAGGCTTACAACAACTCTTGACCTGGCTTGGTGAAGATGTTGACTGAGCTCGTTGAGGACAGAGTTGCAGGGACAATTTTTTTCTCTCTCTCTCTCTCTCTCTCTCTCTCTCTCTCTCTCTCTCTCTCTCTCTCTCTCTCTCTCTCTCTCTCTCTCTCTCTCTCTCTCTCTCTCTCTCTCTCTCTCTCTCTCTCTCTCTCTCTCTCTCTCTCTCTCTCTCGCAGTATTCTTTCTGACTGAAAGACTGTTCCAATGCAAGACTTGGCTTGCCTGCCGGAGAAGTGTAACTTTCCTGCTCCTGGAATGGAATGTTCCCGCTCTTAAAGTAGAACTTTCAACTTCCTTGTTGGGAATGACGGGGTTGCGGGCGCAGACTTTCCAGTGGATCTGTGCTCCCTTGTCTTCTGCCTTCAGGATGCCCAGCTACTGATCATTATTGGTCGAAGTTCCAGTGAGTCTGAGCTTTGGACTCTTCACACTGTCCAGCTGCCTCACAGAAGCTAGGCGAGCGTGAGGGCGAACCCGTTTGGGCCACAGGGTGATCCAAAACGACGTTCATTTTTGACTCAGCATGCTGACTGCGTTGCATGTATGTAGGGTAAATGCGCAGGAGCGTCTGGAGTAGACCTGAGGGAACCTGGAGCATGTTGTATCCTGCAAGCATCAGCCTGTTCGTATCTTCAGCTTCAGATGCTGCAGTGCAGGCAGGAGCCAGCGATGTGAGCCTCATAAGGCTCGGACTGAAGTCTTGAGGGGTCCATGTTTGAGTTCTAGGACCCGCAATTTGCTGCACAAAGGCAAGAATTGTGCATTGTTAACGTTGCAGTGACATGCTCTGCCATGCGGTAGTTGTACTTCTTGGCGGCGTGTTTGGCTTTGCCGCTGGTTGCGTGCTCTGATGGGCTCACACAGTCGGTTGGAAGGAATTTTGCCTGCCTCTCGGTCGGCATACTGAAGCTGCCGGGGTCCCGGGAATCATGTCAAAGCTTGTTTCCGCCCTGCCCCCTGAAGATTTTATGGCTTCGATTCCGGGCAGGTCCTGAGCTCAACTCGACTCGCGGGGGCCAGGCTGGGGACTGTCAGTTTTGTCAGTTTTGTCAAGTCGCATGTTTGGCCTGATTTTGCCGCAACAGAAGCCCAAATCCCCGCCCAAGCCCCGTCTGACAGACCTGACAAACCTGATCGTCGTCCTGCCCCTCCCTGAAGACTATTGCCGTGTCGGGGTCCGGGAAGCAGATGTCAGGTTTGTCAGGTTTGTCAGGTGGCATGTTTGACGCGTTTTTGTAGACAAACTGCACCAAAAAGACCCCGAGGAGCCGACTGACAAACCTGACAAAACTGACAAGCCATTTCCCGCTGCCGAGAAAAAAGTCGCTTGCCCCCATTCCGGGCAGGTCCTGAGCTCAACTCGACTCGCCGGGGCCAGCTGGGTACTGTCAGTTTTGTCAGTTTTGTCAGGTCGCATGTTTGGCCTGATTTTGCCGCAACAGAAGCCCAAATCCCCGCCCAAGTCCCGTCTGACAGACCTGACAAACCTGATCGTCGTCCTGCCCCTCCCTGAAGACTCGTATTGCCGTGTCGGGGTCCGGGAAGCAGATGTCAGGTTTGTCACCAAAAAGACCAAAAGTCGCTTGCCCCCATTCCGGGCAGGTCCTGAGCTCAACTCGACTCGCCGGGGCCAGGCTGGGGACTGTCAGTTTTGTCAGTTTTGTCAGGTCGCATGTTTGGCCTGATTTTGCCGCAACAGAAGCCCAAATCCCCGCCTGAGCGGACTGTCAGTTTTGTCAGTTCTGTCAGGCGGGCCCTGGGGGGGTTTTTCGATGCTCTTTGTAGGCTAAAACAACCCACTTGACAAATCTGACAAAACTGACAGAACTGACAGGCCTTACTTAGGGTAGTCCCAAGGGGGCCAACAACGCGAAGCGATACGACGTGCAGCCGACGCTGGGGCCAGACCACGGATCTCAGCGCAAGGCTCGCAGCTACTGCCTCTGAGGGACCACCGCCTGCAGTCCGTGCTCCTCTCACGTCCGAATGGCCAGCTCACCCGTGCGGGCCAGTTCTTCTTCGGCCTCACCGGCCGGCGCCCCCCCCCGAACCGCCAGTTCGACGAGGCCCAGCAGCTCATCCGAGACGGCGCTTCCGACTACATCCTCATGAGAGGGGGACGCGGAAGCTCGTGCGGACCCTGCAGCCCAACGGCCAGTACCAGGTCACCAAACTAGGAAAAGCTTTCTTCAAGGATAAGTACACTGAGTGGCTGGCTCATGTGCCCGTGATCATCCGGGGCCCTGGAGGAACGGCAACCCCTACGAGCGCCATGACTACCTGCCCATCACCACGCTGCACCTGGGCCTGTCCCGGCAGAACGACGCCTGGAGTGAGGCGCAGATCGCCCGCAACGTGAAGGAAGCGGTGCTCCGGCAGCTGGGGCAGCCTGGAGAGGGGGACCCCATCTACATGATCAGCGGGGAAGTGTACTTCCTCCACCCCACCAACAGTGGGCCTACAGCTCCTCCAGCATGCATCGTTGTCGGAGAAGGGCAAGCTGATGGACCTGCGGCGGTGCGCTGGACCGCCTGCCCTCTGTGGGGAGAGGGTGGTATCCCAAGCCTGCGTGCGCCTACATGCTGGAGGCGGGGCTCGCCAAGTGGAGCCACTTCAAGTGGAGCCTGGACGCCACTGCGCACGTCGACCAGCGCTGCCTGGAACTGGTCCTGGAGCGCATGGAGCAGAGCTGGCCTGAGGAGCTCGGAGTCCAGAATTGGTTTATTCCGTGAAGACTTCAAACCATCAGGAAGATGGCGAGGGCTGCAGCTGGTGCCAGACCTTCACGGACTCCGGCGGAAGAACACACTACTGGGATCACATCTTTGTCGCAGAGCGCTCTCCAACAGTTCCTACCGACCGGTGCATGACTACATCATGGGAGCCGAGTACGTGGCGGTGGCCCGGATTCGGCAGGCTTTGGCGGAAGTGCCGAAGCGCTACCTGAAGAGCATCAAGACCGATTGCCTGGTGATGCAGGACGTCCCGAAGCAGCACCGCCCCGCTGTGGAGCGGCTGCTGCAGATGTCGCACCCCCGTCTACAGGTGCGAGGAGGTGGCCGGGCTGAAGGGCCAGCGCCGCCAGCCCAGAGGACCGTCAGTTCCGTCAGGATTGTCAGGTGGGCCATGGGGCCGGATATAGCGTAAATAACATCAAATTTTGCTCTCTCTAGGGGAGGTGTTCCGGTTCTCCACTCTGTGGTGGCTACAGGCCTGGTTATGAGAGATCGATGAGACTTATGCATTTCGAGAGGCTGTCGATTCTGCCGGCTGGAGGCTGCAGAGCTGGGAATCGGAGGGGCTTTAAAGTGCTTGCAAAACAGCCGCGCAGCGACTCGAGAGCGGATGCATCGCGCGCGGCGGGCTTCGGAGCGCAAGTCAGCTCGCGAGCTGCTGGGGGGCGGACCTTTGCGCCCTGAGCGGGAGCTTCGGAATGCTTGCGAGGCATCGAAGCGGAAGTCCTGTAAGGCATAGAGGCCGGGCATTGAAGCTTGCTGGGCATTGAGGCTTACGAGGCATCGAGGCCGAGCTGTGTGGCATGCAGCTCGAAAGTTGTTTCTCGTCAGCTCGCGAGCTGCTGGGGAGCGGACCTTTGCGCGCTTCGCGCGCTGGCGCGCACGTCTGAAGAGGGGCGGAGCTTCGGAGCGCCTGCGAGGCGTAGTGGAGGCTTCGAGGCTGTTTGGCAATCAGCTCGAAAGCGCTCGGCAGTCAGCTCGAAAGCTGTTTGGCGTGCAGCTCGAAAAGCTGTTGGGCATGCAGCTCGAAAGCTGTTGGGCATGCAGCTCGCAAGCTGCTGGGCTGCAGCTCATGGATGCTGGGACCTGCGACTGATCTGTCAGCCAATTTGACTGACAAATCCTTGCGAAAATTCCCTTGCCAGCTCGTGAGCTGCCGGCGAGCAGCTCGATAGCTGTTTGGCATGCAGCTTCGAAGCAGCCGCGAAATCCCGTTTTGCAAGCTTTCTAGAACCCCTTCGATTGCTCGAGCTCCGGGCCGTAGGCCCGAGAATCGACAGCCTCTTGAAATGCATACTTCTCATACATCTCTCATAACCAGGCCTGTAGCCACCACAGAGCAGAGAACTGGAACACCTCCCCTAGAGAGAGAATTCAGGTTGAACCTGGGTTCAATTCGAAACCTAGGTTGAACCTGGGTTGAACTTGGGTTGAACCTGGCTTGAACCTGGGTTTTTCAATCTTGAAAGGGGACAAGACTGTTTTTTGTTTCTTAAAGCAAAAAGAGAAGAAGAGAATTTATTCTAAATTCCACCCTTCTCGAATATTTTGTTTTTCGTATTTCATTCTTCGAAAACTCAGAGGAGAAGGGAGAAGGGAATTTATTCTAAATTCTACCTCCTCGAAGATTCTTGAATCTTCTTTTGTTTTTTGTATTTCCTTATTCGAAAATCAGAGGAGTAGAGACGAGACAGTTGTTGTTTCCAAAAGTAAAGAGCGGGGGGGTTGGGGGGGGGGGGGGGGGGGGCGCAGCCCCCCCCCATTTTGCCTGTTGTGAATTGGAAAGAGGGGAGAAGAGGGACAGGATTTTAGTCTAAATTCACCCCCTCAAATCTTGTTTTGTTTTTGTATTTCATTGTTCAAAACTCAGAGGAGTAGAGACGAGATTGTTTTTGTTTTAAGAAGTAAAGAGCGGGGGCGTTGGGGGTGGGACGGCGGGGAAGGGGGCTTAAATGGGGCTTAAAGGGGAAGCTTAAGGGGGGGCTTAAGGGGGGCTTAAGGGGGGGCTCAAGGGGGGCTTAAGGGGGGTTTCAGGGGGGGCTTAAAGGGGGGCCTGAAGGGGCTTAAAGGGGGCGTAAAGGGAGGCTTGAAGGGGGGGGCCTTAAGGGGGGGGGGGCTGAAAGAAGATGAGAGAAGGGATTTATTCTAAATTCCACCCCCCTCGAATCTTGTTTTATTTGTTGGATTTCATTATTCGAAGCCAGAGAAGTGAGACTTTAAACATTACCTTCTCTTCAAGAAGAGAGAGAAGGAAATTTAGTCTA